TATTAAAATAGGTGCAAATATAGAAATTGCTAATAATAGACACACATACATACATATATATATATATATATATATATATATATATATATATAGTATACATATGAGAGATACATATCATTTATTACAATGAATCGTGCATAATTTATAGAATTTATTTTGAATGCAAATTTTCATTTAAAATGAGCTTTACAAATTCAAAACTTTAAACATTTAATATTTAAATAAATTTTCCCGTGACGAATATAATATAATTGCGCATATAAGAATTCTGGATATACATTTTACGGTGAAAACCGGGAAGTGCAACTTGGAGAAGTAATCCATTAGCCAATTTTTGTCAGAATATAGCGCAAGAGTAGCATCATATTACGTTAAAGAATTTACGTTTTTAGAATTTACAAAATGTAAGCTTCTTTTCGTAACCAATAAAGAAAAGTCAACGGTGTAAAAAGCAGGTTTATACCTCTCTCCTTTTTTTCTCTCTCTTTCTGTTTCTCTAGTCGCTCTTGATTTTACCATTTCTTCAAAAAAAATTGCAGTCTATATCTCGTCGGACAAATGCTCTTTTCGATTTGTTATCGCGTGTTCATCCGATTCCGTCTATTGCCTCGACGAGGAGCCACGGCCAGGAAGCCACGCGAATGCAAATTAATGTTCAAACGTTATACGCGCGATGGGAGAGCGTTATGGTGGCGCAACGCGTTTACGTCGGTTCGTCGTTCCTTTATCTTTATCGCCACGGGAACGGCCGAGGAGCCAGACTGTCGAGAACTCCGGGAGACTCCGAAAAGAGAGTCGGTTTTCGCGGTGGCTGCACCACCGGCGCTCCGCGCTGAAACCGCCCTCCTTTTCCGCATAATAAGCTCGTTTGTATCGCCTTTATTGGCGAATGGGGCAGGAATATATGCATCTCATGCAAAGAGAGGGAGAGAGAATTTTCTCTCTTTTTTTTTACTTCCTATGCACCGATATACCGACATACTCCCGCATTTTCAAGCACTATATGCCATTAAAATATTTAAAGGCCTTGTAAAGGACGTTTAAATGTAACGCAGCCGCAGAGATGGGAGCTAGTTAAATAGTTGGAAATTGTATAACATATTTGTTGAATTATCTCGGTACATAAATAGGTCACTGAGTAAAATTTGCAAGTATGTCATATAAGGTTGGGCGGTTTTCATAATTATGAAAGCGATATCACTGTTACATTTAATAGCTCGACTTTTGCATATGTATAGAATCTCTGTGTGTATATATATATATATATATATATATATACGTACGTGTATATATTAATTAGAATATAATTTGCGATCATTAATTTCTTCTCTCGATCTTTCTCCTCTCATCTCTCGGAGCAAAAAAAAAGAAATAATACAGTCTAAATTTTCGAGTGGCGTACAGAGGCGGCGGATCGATGAACTCGTGGGATATAACGTGGAAGATGGGCCACCGAATGCGAGGCATCTGATCTCATATTAATGCAACGGAGCATCTCGGAGGTGCAACCCAATTTCTACTGGGTCAGATATTTTCCCGTAGCGCCAGGCGCTAATGCTGCAAGCTACGCGAAGTCAAGTCGCTGAATATCGCACGTGCTCGCGACGATATCTCGTAGAGCGCACGATAATTCACGCGAGAGCGGGCTATTAATAATCTTTCTTGACTTTCTCGAGCAGAAGCGCTCGCGCGCGCGCGCGAAGCAAGAATGGATGAAGAAGCCCCCATGTGAGTGAGAAGACCGAAGGAGACCAAGAGATGGAGAAAGAGAGAGTGAGAGAGAGAGACGAAGGGGCACGGACGCTCATTACGTCGCCGTACCTCATGGCACGAGATGAATAATTAATAACGCGAAGGGCATGCGAGAGAACCGCGCTTTTATACTACAAAATAGTCTTGTGTAAGTCAGCCAGGTAGCAGGACGCGCCTGATGAGAATCGATAAGCGAACTTATTAAGCCGTATGCATACGTGAGCGTTTTCTATGAGCGGGTTAGATCGTCGAAAATTGTCGATGTCTATAAAATTTGATTCTTTTTGCACAAATGCAAAATATTGGTAAAAAGCCGTCATTTGTAGCGATAATCTCTCGCCTAATTTGTCAGATTATGCGTCCTAATTCCTTTCTAAAAAGCATGCAAAGTCGATTATCGCAAATATTGTTGCGGCTTTTCCGCGATACTGATCAGTTGTCTTGAGTAATATTGTGTGTTATATTAATAATATCAAACAACAGATATATATATATATATATATATATATATATATATCATTTTATTTAGTTTAATCAAATATAATTGCGCACGCAAAGCGAAGTTATATCTTTTGATAATAAAATCTCAAAAATTACGACGCATGCATGTAAAAATTATTATTGCAATCAATGCATAAAAATATATTAATTACTTATGCAACGCATAAAAATTCATTTAAATCTTTAACAGAAAATACGAACGAAGAAATAAAATTTTCTACAAAAATCTTTAGTGATCAAATAGCTACGCTTTCATTAGACTCACGCGAGACTCAACTTCACTTCGCGCACATAATTATATTTGATTAAACTAAACAAAATGAGACAAAATATATATAAAAAGATACATATATACAAAATAGTTCTCAAATACAATAGAAATTCGGCAAATTAAAATTATGTACATAATAAAAATTTGGGAATTAAAATTATGTACATAATAGAAATTCGGCGAATCAAAATTATGGTCATAGCATCAAACAACTTTCATTGCAAAGATTAACAATTTGACAGTTGTAAAATAAACAATAGAAATAATATCAAAGGAGCACGCGAAGCACGCGCTTATGTTGTCTATATAGTGATTGAAAAAAGTCCAGTTACATTTTCAAAGTTAAATACTTTCATATTATTGAAAAAATTAATTCAAAATACATCGACGAGATTACGAACAAAAAATGCGACGTAAAAGTAATTAGCTAGCTGCCACATTCGATTTTTATATTGCAACTTTACTTACTAGAAAAGTAGTGCATATGTTATAAGCGGATAGATCACTGAAGTGGTGATAATATAAAAGTATATATGTATATCGCAACTCTCGTGTTTGCAGGATGGGCTATTGCAGCAAGCTACTGACGTCATAAACAACTCAGAAAACTTTGATTGTAAAACTTTTCTATGGATAAGATGGCAAGAGAACAGAGAGAGAGAAAGTATAGTGATTCCCAATATGCGTTATACAGGCGCGTTCGCCCCAGTCCGGAAACAAATGTCACTGAGCTATTAAAACTTCTAAACTCGCAGCCGTATCGAACGTAAATAATGCTCTTTCCGCTAACACTAACCAGATTTATCGACATTTCCAACTTGATTCCGCTATCCATGGATTACTGCAAAGGAAGCTGTGACGGTTGATATTTGTTTCGGGAATCACGGGGCGATGCCGTGCAGAGAGAAATTGGAGATAATTAAATCTGAAGCATTGCATATGTGCCGTATTTACGCATAATAATACGTGGATCTTTATCAGATATCAAGTTCAAAGTAATCTTCGCCGGCATACTGTTACAGTTTTATAAAATAAAATCTCACAATCAACTCTTACAAACAAAAGTGTTGAAACTTTTATTTAAAACATTATTTAGTAGAAACACTTTTCTTTTACTGTTTGGATAGTATTCGATCAAAAACAAAAATCTATTTTTTTTTTGCAGAAGTTATTTTACTCTCTTAATGATTATTTGTGTCTATAATAATATAAAAAAATGTTTCTTATATTTTTATCTAGACCACAACATGTCCAAAGCTCATCAGAATCGAAACGAGACACTTCCAATTCTTTTCTTGTAAGATAATAGCATGAGTGTCGAGAAAAATGCATCGCAACATTTTCGTACAGATAACGCGCGAGTATGTGAATATGCGTAAAATACTGATATATCACCAACGCGCATACTATACTTCTCGAATGCAGCCGAAAATGTAGATTCCAGCGGCTCGGGGGTCTTATATATAACAAACTTTTGTCAAGCAGTATTAAATAAAAGTCGATTATCTTCACATAAATCGCAACGAGTAAAACATCTGTATTGCTGGCACATATTCCTACATAATTTTATTTATACAATTTATTAATCTAATAATTATTTATTAATTCTTCTTCTATGCGAATTATCGAATAGTTTCAGTTGTTTTAATAATTCTAACAAAATATGTTAAAGATATTACTATACCAAATAATTATATAAAGTCATAAATAATTTTTATTAATATAATGTTAAAAACTTAAATAATATTAAATAGGCAAAAAATTGACAAATTTCTCATAAATAAGTTCTGGTGTAATATATAATTATTGTTAAAATATTCTTATTATTATATAATTATTGTCTTATATAAAATTAATTATATATTAGTGCAAATAATCTGTTGATTATTTATCAAGTATTGCCGAAAATAGATTTTTATTTATATTTTTCATAACGTTTATATTGATCATCTTTTATATATATTTTATATATATATATATATATATATATATATATATCAAATATTTTATATATTAATAAGAGAAAAAGAGAGAGAGAGAGACATAAATTTTCTACGATAGATTCTGTAAGAATAATCTTATAAAAAAGTATTTAACAAAAATATTTGCGCTAGAAGAATACTTTCGCTTTTGTAATTTGCTTTGCTCACACATTTAATACTTTGAGTTACTTTAACGGAAACAATCTTTGCTAAAAGTACCCGTATAAATATATTTCAAAATTTCGAAAGTTTTAAATATTTGCATCTATTGTAATATTTGAGATAAATTTTTAAATCATTATCTAATCCAAAAATTTAGCGGCATTGAATTAAAAATTAATGATAAAAGTGAGGACGCGCGTAAGACATATTTACACTGTGTATCAATATTTACATTCCTATAACAAATCATACATTTTTCGGCGACATTTCCCTTTTTTGTTAATAATATTTTATATTCTTCGTACAGTTTTCGTTAAAATAATTCTTTCTATCTAGTAGTGCACAATCAACGATACAAAGCAGATATAATTATAGCCACGTCGAGCGAAGGTAATGACTGATTACAGAACTCTATCACAAAACAATAGTTAAAATTATAATTATATGAACTATTTTGCGAACACAGTTTGTTAATTATCAGGCAATTTGTTAGTTATGAATTTGCTTTTTTAATTTATTCATATTTATAATTTTTTTACATTTATAATAAGACATTATATATTATATAACATAAATTTATTATTAATTCTGCAAGAATAATTTTAAAAGTATTGTATTGATAAAAATATTTAACTAGATATATTTTTGTGTTTGTTTTGAAATATATTGTTGATAGTCATTTTGATAAGAATTGATATAAAATATTTAACATAATAAAGAAGGTCGCATTTTTAAATAATTTTAATGGTAAAAGTGAGGACGTTAGACATATTTACACTGTGTATTAATATTTACATTTCTGTAACAAATCATACATTTTCCGGCGACCTTTCTTTTTTTTGTTAATAATATTTTATATTCTTCGTACAGTTTTCGTTAAAATAATTCTTTCTATCCAGTAGTGCACGATCAACGATACAAAGCAGATATCATTATAGCCACGTCAAGCAAAGGTAATAACTGATTATAGAATTATATCAAAAAACAATAGTTTATGTAATATTTGTGATAATTTTTATTAATTCTATCGAATACAGAATTAAATTTTAATAAAATCTTGAAAAAGTATACATAGTGATGGTTAACAAAGTCATGTTTCATCATCAATTCACTCACAAAAAATTTAACAAATTTATTAAAATATTTTGTTACAAAATAAACTATATTACAAAAGAATGAATTACAAAATATCAAAAAAGTTTTGTTATAAAACTGACCTTAAAACGAAGAATATATTGAATATTAATAAATAACATAATTAAATTATAATTTTGTTTTTCTTAATTATTTATATGTATATTTATATTTTGTGTTGTATGTGTTTACGTACATTTGTAAGTTTTAAACAGAATAGTATTTGTATCATAAATAATAAAATAAAATTCAGACTTTAAAAATGTAATTTTATCACAGATATTAAATATATACTATTTTAGTACCAATTTCGAAAAAATCGGTCCATAAATATGCAATTGCGTGGGTGCGTGCATGGGTGGGGATGTAAAACTTAAAAAGAACCACATAACATCTATCCCCGAAAAATTTGTAACATTTTGATACCTGTTTTACGAAAATCGGTCCATATATGTGAAAGTAGTTCACGGTTAGACAGACATACAGACAGATGGTGCTTATTATTCTAGATATAAATATTTGAGGCTATTTATTTAGCTAATATTATATTCAAATGCAATCGTATAAATATGCCATCTGTTGTATTTTATACTCTGTAATCTATAACAATTTAATTAGGTTGTCATAATATCTATTTATAATTTTATTAAATTGAATAAGTACAATAATTAAATAGTTAAGCAAAAATATTTGTATTTGAATAATAATTGTATGTCGAATTTATAAAAATAGTATAAACAGATTGAAATTTAAATTTTTGTCAAAAAATGTTTAATAAAAATTTTTTATTAAGTTAAAATGATGTACCCTATATATAGAGATGCCTATATATATATATATATATATATATATATATATTTTTATTAATAATAATAATTTATAATTATTTCAGCATTCAAACTTACTTATTTTTGAATTTACCATGAAAATTTTATTGTAGATTATAATTATAAGAGGACAATGGAGATTGCTGAAGAAGAAAGTTGTTCATCGTATTCACCATGTGTTCCTATCAATAAGTAATTATTTACACTGCTTTTTTTTAATGTAACATAAAACAAAATAACACAAAAATATTTTGACTTTTTTGAGAACATATAGCTTGTTAATTATCTACATATATATTAAGCATCGATATAGACACAAAATGTTTTAAACTTTCATCAAATAATTTACATTTATTATTTGTATTTAATAATTATACATTATGCACATGAATTACGAACAAGACATTAAAATATATTGATTAATTCAGCAATTTGTACTTTTTATTTTATGCAGAAAATCAAGGTTTAGTAGTAAATGGATATGGCATTACTTTACAATATATAATGGCGACTTTATTAAATGCAATATTTGTTTTCGTGTATTCAACCACGATATAAAACGTAGTTTAATGATACATATGAAATCAAAACATTTAGCAATTTATAATAACTCAAAAACAAAATGGACGCATTCTAAAATAGATCAAAAATTAAAATGCAATTATTGTGATAAAACTTATGAACCAATATATAAAATTGATATAATGATAAACCACATAAACAATAGTCATAAACTTAATAAAGAAATAACAGATAAACTCCAAACCTGGGTGATTGACCAATTAATTATTCTGGAATGCGAAATTTGCAAACAATTTAGTAAATACCATGCCTTTATATTTATGATACATTTATACAAAGTTCATCATGTCATTGTACCTGAAGAATTCATACCACAGAGGTAAGAAGAATAATCGATAAAATTATATTGCTATGTTTTTTATCTTTTATATGTCCTTTTATGTACAAAATGAACAGAAATGTGTACAATGAATAAAAAATAAATTTTTAATTTAAAATGCGTAGGAATATGAATATTTGAGTCAATATAACTTATGTAGCTAATATATATTATATATAAATGTAATTACACAAATTTGTTCTCTATTGTATTTTTTGTAATTGGTAATGTTTAATAATTTAATTGAGTATAAATTATGAATAAGTATAAAAATTAAATAATCGGACAAGAAATATAGTATTTAAATAGTATTTGTGTATACCAAATTTATGAAAATATTTAAAAAAATTAAAATTAAAATATTCAATGAGTATTTAACTTGTTTTAATTTAATTATAAAAAAATTGAAAAAAATAGAAACTAAAATTTTCAATGCAAATTGCTTAAATAAGGAAAAAATGTTATTGTAATTAATAATTATTCATTGTACACATGGTTCAAGCAAGTCTTATAAGATTGATTAATTCAAAATTTTTGTTGTTAATTTTGTTATGCAGATTATCATTTAGATTAAAAAATCTTTTTTATCCAAGTAAAAATGTTGAAAACATTCCAACATCAACCAGCAATAATCATCAGCAGCCATCTATACTTAGAACTTACTTTAAGGATTATGATCCGACTTTTCATTCTTTCGATACATTTGAGTAATTATTTACACTGATTTCTCGATGTAACATAAAGTGGAATATTATGAAATTATAATTAGATTGACTGTTTTGCGAACAGTTTGTTAATTATCTGTTTATCAAAAACATCGACAGAAACAAATTTTTTAATATTATTTATATATATATATATATATATATATATATATATATATATATGTATGTATGTATAAATGTATGTATAATTGTATTATAGTAAGTTTAACTTTAAATGTACCACAATTTAGTTTGAAGCATTTGGTTTCTATGTTTTGTGGCGATTGTGAAAAATGTTAAATAATGATCTTGGTTCTGTCAGTTGTATAAAAAATGGTATATATTTTCTTATTCAAATGTTTACTATTTTTTTACAAATAAAGTACAAAAGTCATTTTTAATGCAATTTGATCCGCTGAATCTGAATCTGAAGTTAGAAAAACAAAATTTCTATTTTTGCAAATAAATAATTAGTTATTGATATTTACTTTTAAAAATAAAATTAATGTTATTATTTGTAAAAATGCTATTTTTTCTTTTTACTACGACATTTCTGTGCTAAAATATTAACTAATTATCGTATTGTGCACAATTGCACATTTGGCAGTATCAATTATATTTTTAATATTATATGAAAATGTAGATTATTTTATAATAATTTTATTATTTAAAATGTAAAATATGGAGCTAAAAAATAATGTATAGACAATATTAATCCTGTATAAACGCAGAAAACTTTTTCATAAAATATTAAAAATATTGTTGATACTGCCGAATGTGCAATTGTGCAGAATACGATAATTATAGTTAATATATATTCTAACACAGAAATGTCGTAGGAAAAAGAGAAATAAGCATTTTTGAAAATATAGACATTAATTTTATTTTATAGAAGTAAATATCAATAACAACTAATTATTTATTTGCAAAAATATATATTTTGTTTTTCTGATTTCAGATTCGGATTCAGCGGATTAAATTACATTGAAAATGAATTTTATACTTCATTTGTAAGAAAATAGTAAAAATTTAAATAAGAAAATACCATTTTTTATATAACTGACAAAACCAAGGTCATTATTTAACTTTTTTCAAAATCGCCATACGGCACAAAAAACTAGATGCTTCAAGCTAAATTTTTATACCTTGGAAGTTAAATTTACTTGAATACAATTGTGGGCGAGGGAGTGGTCGATTTGACGTGGAATGACCCATATATATACATATATATATATATATATATATATATATATATATGAGTCCAGAGTTCAGAAGTAACACGTTACTTGTAACGTCGTTACCGTTACCGTTACTTTTTTCGGTAATTACTTTTTTCTATCTGTAACGGTAACGGTAACGTCGTTACATTTTTACAATAACGCTAACGAATTAGCCGTTACTTTTATCGTTATTTATTAGTTCTCTCTAAATTAATACTAAATTAATATATACTAAATAATAAAGATTACATGCAATAAATGCAAATAAATATTTAATATTAAAAAACGCTTTCTACATATAATTATACATTTTAATAGTAATAGATTCTAGCATTACAAAAACCGAAAATGTAACGAAAAAGTAACGAATCGTTACTTTTTGAGTAACGGTAACGATAACGCGTTAATTTTTATAAACGATAACGGTAACGCATTACTTTTATAGAGTAACGGTCGTAACTTTGTATGGGTCATATATATATATATATATATATATATTTGTACTTAATAATTATGTGCATATAATTAACAAGCACAACGTTAAGATATTAATTCAGGTATTTATATTTTCACAATTCTGTGCAGATTACCAAATACTTTAGTCAATCTTTTAAGTTCTGATAACGATACTGCAACATCAAGCAGTAATAATCAGCAGCTTTCTACACTTGGAACTTACTTTAGGGATTATAATCCGAAATTTAATTCTTCCGATTCATTTGAAGAAGAGTGTCATTTAATGCCCTCAACTAATGGGTAATTATTTACACTGCTTTCTTAATGTAACTTTTAAAGTGGAATAATATGAAAGTATAATTATATTAACTATTTTGCGAATATACAGTTTGTTAATTATTGTTTATCATCAAGTATCAACAAAAACCAATTGTTTGATATTATTTATAATATATATATATATATATATATATATATATATATATATATATTATTTGTACTTAATAATTATGTGCATATAATTAACAAGCGAAACGTTAAGATATTAATTCAGGTATTTTCATTTTCACAATTCTGTGCAGATTATCAAATACTTTAAACAATCCTTTAAGTTCTGGTAACGATACTGCAACATCAAGCAGTAATAATCAGCAGCCTTCTATACTTGGAACTCACGATGAAAATTATGATCCCAATTTTAATTCTTTCAATTTATTTGAAGAAGAGTGTCATTCAATGCTTTCAACAAATGAGTAATTATTTACACTGCTTTCTTAATGTAACTTTTAAAGTGGAATAATATGAAAGTATAATTATATTAACTATTTTGCGAATATACAGTTTGTTAATTATCTGTTTATCATCAAGTATCAACAGAAACCAATTGTTTAATATTATTTATATTATATATATATATATATATATATATATATATATATATATATATATATATATATATATATTTTTTACTTAATAATTATGTGCATATAATTAACAAGCGAAACGTTAAGATATTAATTCAGGTATTTTCATTTTCACAATTCTGTGCAGATTATCAAATACTTCAGGCAATGTTTTAAGTTCTGGTAACGATACTGCAACATCAAGCAGTAATAATCAGCAGTCTTCTATACTTGGAACTCACGATGAAAATTATGATCCAAATTTAAATTCTTTCAATTTATTTGAAGAAGAGTGTCATTCAATGTTTTTAACAAATGAGTAATTATTTACACTTCTTTCTTAATGTAACTTTTAAAGTAGAATAATATGAAAGTATAATTATATTAACTATTTTGCGAATATACAGTTTGTTCATTATCTGTTTATCATCAAATATCAACAGAAACCAATTGTTCGATATTATTTATAATATATATATATATATATATATATATATATATATATATTTGTATTTAATAATTATGTGCATAAAATTAATAAGCAAAACGTTAAGATATTAATTCAGCTATTTATATTTTCACAATTTTGTGCAGATTATCAAATACTTCAGACAATCTTTTAAGTTCTGGTAACGATACTGTTACATCAAGCAGCTTTTATCAGTCAATTGTCAGTACTGAGCTTACTGATGCTGAGGAATTGTGTGATAATTATAGAGAACTGGAAAAGTTTTTGGAGTGTGATAAAGAAGAAAGTTATTCAATTATCCCGTTTGATAAATATTAATGATTTATTCTCTTTTTTCGATGTAATATAAAGGAAATAACATGAAATTATAATTGTATGATCTATTTTGCGAACATAGTTTGTTAATTATCAGGCAATTTGTTAGTTATCAAGTTGCTTTTTTAAATTATTCATATTTATAATTTTTTTTACATTTATTATAAGACATTATATATTATATAACATAAATTTATTATTGATTCTGCAAGAATAATATTATAAAAGTATTGTATTGACAAAATTTAAAATATTTAACTAGATATATTTTTGTATTTGTTTTGAAATATTGTTGATAGTCATTGGTAAGAATTGGTATAAAATATTTAATATAATAAAGAAAGTAGCATTTTTAAATAATTTTAATAGATTTTCATTTTATTAGTTTCTTTTAATTTAACATTTTGACCCGTTTAAAATTTGGTATGGTCTTTTAATGTATAATTTTTTTTTCTTCACATTTTGATGGTTTTCGATTTTATAGAACTGTTCTAAGTTATTTCAAAAATACTTGCGGGAATTGTCAAGTTTTAATATTCGCCTATTAATTGGACTATTTATGATTGTGTAATTTTTGGCGTGATGTTTCTTTAATCGGTAAAGTTTTTGGCATAGAATTCGCAATTACTTTTAAATAAAATTACGATATATTAAATAGATTTTAACTGTATCTATTATATTAATATATTTACAAAATTCATTGTGAATAAAGACCAAGATATAATAAGTTTATTTAATATCTAAGTTCATTTAAAACTAAGTATTTTAAATCTTTTTAAAACTTAAAAAATGGCGAAAAAATATCCCAATTTTGGCTGCATTAATTGTCGTTCAACTCGGCACTAACGATCTATGAGTATAGTATAAGAAATGTAAAAGATGTAAAAAGAAGAATTTGTAAAATTTCGAAAGACAACATAGACTATACTAATCATTTAACCATTATTAGTCAGAACAATTGTTGAACATGATTTCCACGATGAATGTTAAATATTCAACTTTTTAGAATATTTTACATTCGCGCGAATAAAGAACAAAAGAATATATAGATAAATGTTGAAAGTACCGAGCGCGCGATAATAATTAATCATCTCCGCTCAATTATTAAAGACATACGTAATCCCACTCGATCGTGTCGCCTTTGTAACGCACCCGTTCACTCATTTATGTATGACACTAATTACGCACAGATAATGCGATTCGCCGCTGTCTAGTCTGTCGATTGGAGCGTAAATTTGCGCGCACTTTTAAGAACATTCATTATATCCAGAAAAAAACAAAAGGTTGTAATTTATCGGTTTTCTTAATGAAAATCAAATCCACGGCATCGTCATCGAATCTAAAAGTCGAACACACAATCGAATCTATACTACTGAAATAAAGAACCGCTAGACGATGAATTCTTTCTTCGTGAAATATAAAATATTCCAATGAGCTCTGAGAGAGAAAAGAGATAAGAAACTGTCAACTATTCGAGGAACGTCCCGTGCGTAACAATGTTCGGAGAAATGGCCGAGATAGACGGAAAAATGAAAGATCGCGGAAGAACGCGAAATTTTCAACAAGATCGTGCGGCCTGTGTGGCAGGAATTTGCATAGACAAACGTCATCGTCCACAACCTTTCGAATCTTCGCGGCAACTAAGAAGAGAAAGAGAGAGGAGAATTGACATTATTTATCCTCTCTTTCTTTCCCTTCGTCGAACCTCCCTTTAAACGCCACAACCGGGAATTTCAACCGGGCAAGAAACGTCAGTGTCGCATTCTCGTTTTCTTTGCTTTCTCGTGTATACATTTTCTCCCTTTTCACGCAAATATACTCGAAAGAATTTGCTTGATCGTTCATCTTTTCCCGAGCGAAGGACAGATTTCGATAAGTAAAAGAAAGTCGATAGGTTTCTTTAACGTGTTACATCGATTATTACACCACCTGTTTCGAACAATTCAACAAAGTCAGAAGAGACCAGTTTCTTTCTATTCATCTTATTTATAAAATATTTAGTAATACAAAAATATTGCATGTGTAAAGGAATATTATTAAAACTAATATTTTACAAGAAAGCAAAAAACAAAGTTATACTTAACATTATTCGCAATAAAAGAATGTTGGACGATGAGTTCGCTTTTAATAAGCAACGATATAATTTAACAGCATCAATTCCAATTAGCTACATTTGTAAAAAAAAAAAAGAAGAGGAAACTCGGAGAAAGGAAACTCGAATGAAAGAAACGGCGGGTAGAAGTCCTGAATGGACCTCACCGGTCTTATCGTTGTAATAGAAAGAATAACGTCGAACTCTCGCGCGATAGAAGCAGCTGGGCTGCAATAAACGAATTTCAATCTACTGGCCTTTGTTTCACGAATCAAGAAAGTGCCGAGGCTTTTCGTACTTCTCAAAGATAAGAACCATGATTCAATGGTAGATGAGAAAAAGCGATAGGAGAGGGACGACCGGAATGTGAAAGGGAAACGGAAAGCAGCAAAAGTCAGAAGAAACAGTTCTCTCTCAATCCGCTTTTCATTGAGCACGCCGATTCTACCACGCTTCTAATTACATTACAAATACAAAGCCGGTCGGCTTTATATCGAGTGAAAAAGTAAAATAAGTCGATATTCTCTGTATTTCCTTCAAACTTGAGAGTAACTTGAAATAAAAAAAACTTAAAAATATATGTATATATTTTATACGATTAATTGAAAGGAAAATTAATCAATGATACCAAAAAATTAGTAAAAAAAGATCCAATAAATTGAGAAAACCACTAATGTGTATTACATTTAAAATACACGTAGATTATCAGTGAAAAAACGTCAGGTGTAAGTGGTAAATATGAGTTAAAAAAAAAAAAAACAAACAAACAGTCCTGAACAAATATACGGGATCTGTGGTCGAGTTACTCGCCGAATTTTAAGTACCCTTGTGCCGGACTTGTCGCGCCGGGCTTTAAATGCGGTTGAACATTCCATAAAACATGGCACTCGTCATGGTTAGAGCACGCTCTAAAATCTCTATGCAGTCGGGCACTGCGTAGAGTCCGGTGATTCTACTGTCAGAGTCACCAGATTATTTATGCGAAGCCTCTTTGCCTCGATGGTCATTCCCTCGCTATTTATTGGTCCTCCAAATGCGAGAATGACCGCAGACTAAGTTCAGAATCGGTCCCGACTGTGTCGAATAGCTCCTTAACACGACGTTAAGTTAAGCGAGTACCTAGCAATAGATAATAATCTTCAGATTACGTATATTCTTCTCTCCAATGTGAATACCCCCCATTGAAACTTGCATTCACAAAAGATACTTAAAAATTCTTAATTGAGCATATATCATTTAAATATTTTATTTAAATATATTTTATATTTTTATTTATAATAAATAAGAAAAGAGGAAGAGATATAAAAAATTATTCTTGTCAAATTATTTATATTTTTGATTAGAAGATCTAACCCGATAACGAAGATAGTAAATCGGATTAAGTCGGTGCCAGTTGCGGTACTTGAAAATAATAATTAAATTGCATTCACACAAAAGATATACTTAAAGATTCTTAATATACCATTTAAATATTTTATTTAAATATATTTTACTCAAATAAGAAAAGAGGAAGAAGTATACAAAATGATTCTTGTCAAATTATTTATATTTTTGATTAGAAGATCTAATCTGTTAACGAAGATGGTGATTAAATCGGTGCCAGTTGCGGTACTTGAAAATAATAATGAAATTACGCGAGCCTTACGGATCGCTTCTCCGGTATCAGTCGGTCGTTGCGCAGCCTCATGCGATAAAAGTCTCTTTTCGAAATTCCCTGTGTGAGTATTTTTCGGCAAGTGCCGGCACGCATCGCGCTCGCGCATCAATATTTCAGACACAGAGGCGCTACGCCCGTTGTGCTCGCTCTCGGGGATTCTCACATCCGACACGTCGCGTCGCGTCGGTGAAACGAAAACCGGCGACGCTAATTAATTCAACCGCCAAATGAATTCAAATCGAAATGATGGGCGCTCCCTGTTTGCGCTGACGATCCGTCCGGTGACAAGAATGTTTTAATTACGCGGCTCGCGTTGCGCCACCAACGGCAGCGCATACACACATACCGAGATCATCCATCGAGTTCAGGTTAATGCGGTAATTCACATGCACTTTGACTGTATTCGGCAAACATCGTGCCAAACCCGACAAGCCGGCTTCGATGTCACAGACCGCCCTTCCGTATACACCGCCCCCGTGTCCTTTCATGCGCCGAGGGTAGTTTGTATATCGCGCGTTTCCCCGAGCTGAAATATTCGATATTCGGCACAGCGCAGTTTAGCCAGCACAATTGCGACGGAAAAATGCAGCGTCTTTCTCCGCGCTTTTCTCCGAGGGTGAAATATTGATGAAAATCTCGTCCGTAATGAAAAGAAAAGTATCGAGCGCGCGTGAAAGGAAATCAAACTGTCCCGACGATTTTAAATTGGAGAACCGAATCTATTCATGGTTTTATATGTTGTTTATGTACAAATATTGAAAATTATTTATCGGGCAAATTGAATGGAACAGATTGTAAGAATGTCACTCTCCTCCAACATGGCGATTAATAATTGTAATTGCAGTCATTTTTCATTGCCGCTCAATTGCATTATTCGTACGATATATTCCGGCTATTTGGATGCTAATGACGTTTGACAATAAATCACTTTACTCGGTCAATTATGTTACGATGAATTCGCTGCGGTGTAAAACCGCTCGTAAAACTTTCTTCGCGCACGTGCGTTTTCCGCGTCCAGCTTTCGAGACCGGAAGGCTCTTTTCAGTTTTGGTCGTGTTTCATTACTTCTCATTAGTCTTTCCCGCGCGGTACTTCGTTCTCTTTCGCGCGGTCGCACCCTGGGAAAAGCTCGCCTTATGGCTTTGCCATGGGGGGGCAAAACACGGAGAGGACGAGCACTTTAGCGGCACTTTAGCGGTGCGAGTGAAGGCCCCGGCCTTTCACACTTTCGAAAATCAGTCCGGTAGACCGGGGACGTCGGCAAATAAACGCCTGCGAGTGGCGGGGACAAATTATGTTTGTCCAGCATTTAACGTTTTGCTAACACACGCGCGCGCGACGAGTCGACGAGCTCGACTGTACGGGTTCGATTTTGTCGACGCCTGACATTGTGTAACGAGCCTTTGTCCGCCAAA